TGTGGTGAAGAGAGGCTGAGCCAAAAAGCAAAGCTCTCAATTTACTGGTTGATCTGCGTTCCTACTAGTGTTGCGCCGATGCCATTTTTTGGCCCCGATACCGATACCCGATACCTGGCTGTGCAGTATCGGCCGATACGAATACCATAATAATGTAAAATAATTGCCATCATGGCTGCTGCCTACCTTTGTGAAGCAGGAAAAAATCTAATACAAAGTGAATCCAGTAGAACGTTTTATTGCCTACCAGGAGTGGGAGACAATAGTTGAATAAACTTTTGGCTCTCAAAATGGTATCGGTGCCCTATTTGTTGGTACTCGCCGATACTGATACCACCATTTTAGGGCAGTATCGGGGCCCCGTCCGATACTGGTATCGGTATTGGTGCAACACTAGTTCCTACCCTCATTTATGGTCATGAGCTTTGGGTCATGACCAAAAGAATGAGCGGCTGAAATGACCTTTCTCCGTAGTGTGTCTGGGCTCTCCCTTAGAGATAGGGTGAGGAGCTCAAGTCATCCGTGGAGGAATCAGAGCCGCTGCTCCTCCACATCAAGAGTAGCCAGTTGAGGTGGCTTGGGCATCTGATTAGGATGCCTCCTGGACATCTCCCTGGTGAGGTGTTCCGGGCACGTCCCACCAGGAGGAGGCCCAGGGGGAGACCCAGGACACGCTGGAGGGACTATGTTTCTCGGCTGGCCTGGGACCGCCTTGGGATTCCCCTGGAGGAGCTGGCCCACGTGGCTGGGAAGAGGGACGTCTGGTTCTCCCTACTGAAGCTGCTACCCCCGCGACCCAACCCCGGATAAGCGGAAAAAGATGGATGGATGGATCTAAACTGTATAAACAGTATATTTTGAAACAAAGAAACATCTAGAAGTCCTTTGGGGTTAGAGCTTGAGATCTAGAGCTCTATTAGCTTCATTTTGTCTGCTTTTACTCTTTCAGCGTTTTCTTTTTTTTTCATTTAGCTCAAAGGTCAATTCAAGTTCTTACATGTTTACAAAGATTCTGTAAAACGTTGCAGGTTGTTCATCCATTATGAAAAGGTTGTAAAGATTGAGGCCTGGAGGTGGTGTATTTCTACCCAGGAAATTCCTAACCCCTGCCATCTTCTTACCTTCAGGGAGGCTCTGTGTTGCTCCTGAGGTCCCAGAGAACATGGAGCTGTTTCCAGCCATGGCATCGTTCAGAGTGGGCGAACGAATTGGTTTCAACTGTAAAGAGAAAGGCCTGATGCCAATGCCACGCGGCCTGTACAGGTGCAGCAGTAAAATGACCTGGGAGCCCCCACTGCCTGAAGACCTCCGCTGCACTGATGGTTGGTTAAAACAATCGATGCTCCATGCAGGCTGTCCTTTAAAACTTATTTAACGTGAAATGAAAGGATTTGTCACAGAATGAATCATGTGACCATGAGGGCAGCTTTATGGCAGTCTGAGCTATTCTTAAACACCAGAGCTAAGCTAAAATGTGTTTTCAGCTAGAAAAACAGATATGACCCTTAATAGATAAGACATGTTTTTGGTTATCTGATTTCTGTGATGCATCTTATGCTACGTTCACCCCGCAAGCAGAAGATGCAGCAAAAACACGTGTGCTGCTTCAGTTTTGATGCTTGTACAAGTGTAGTACTAACGCGCCACTGAGGCTTCTTTGCTGCACACTTGGTTAGCCCTGGCTGAGGTCTGATGGTTGCCGTGGTCCTCTCAAGATCGGAACTTTTTAAATTATGCACTAAACCAGTAAATGGGCCATATAGCGATTCTTAAAAGTATGTACCTTGTACTTTTCTTTTGCTGTTGTACTTTTATAGAACAACGGCAAAAGAAAAGTGAACTTTTAACTCGATACTCTGAGCTCTGTGAGCGCTCCACTGGAAGCTGCTGCTGCCGCGGTGCATGCTGGGACAGCTGCCAATCTCGAGAACAGACAAGTCTGCTGTGATGCATGCTGGGTAAAGAGGGAGGGGCGAGAACAACATCTGGGGACTTTGTCCGTTCTCGTTCTGCTGTCCTTGTGAATTGGGACAGAACTAGGGCAGAGGCTGATGACGTTTCACGAGCACATGAGAACACAAAAGTACGACCCTGTCAGGTGACTGATTAAGCTCTACTGTTTATCGGCCAAATGTATAAAATAATCCAAATCCTTTCTCTCTTTTTAATCTGTGTTTAGAGGAACCATTTGCACCTGATGTTCGGTGTGGACCGGGGCAGAGACAACAGGGATCACAATGTGTCTGCATAGAACGGGAGAGCTGTCTGTTAGTGACTTTAATATCTCAATTTGTTGCATTCTCACATTGTTACATCTAATTTGAAAAAGAAAGGATGTGTTTTTCTTCCAAGCAGCCAGACTCTGAAGTGAGAATTCTGCCAGATATNCTCGGAGTAGAGCCGCTGCTCCTCCACGTCGAGAGGAACCAGTTGAGGTGGCTCAGGCCTCAGGTTAGGATGCCTCCTGGACGCCTCCCTGGTGAGGTATTCTGGGCAGGTCCCACCGGGGGTAGGTCCCGGGGAAGACCCAGGACACGCTGGAGAGACTATGTTTCTTGGCTGGCCTGGGAACGCCTTGGGGCTCCTCCTGAGGGGCTAGAAGAAGTAGCTGCGGAGAGGAGTTTTAAGTTATTTTATATGTTGGAAAAACAGATATTTCTCTGACATGGTTATCTGGTTGGCCACTAGATTAACTGGTGGCTAGGTTTTACCTGAATACGAAAACTATTGGGGAGTGTTGGGCAAGTGGTTAGAGCAGTGTGCTTGTGCTCCGAGAAGGTTGCCAGTACCCGGTTCAAATCCCATAGCCTCCACTCTGGGTTCCTGAGCAAAGACCCTTTACCCTTGATTTCTCCCCAGGCGCCACACGATGGCAGCCCACTGCTCCCCAAAGGGGATGGGTTAAAAATGAGTACAATTAATTTTACCTGCTTTAATTTGGGTTATTGTTAACTTCTGAACTACTTCTCAGAATAATGGGAAAAAAGTCAAATATGTTTAAATAATGTTTTAATATCAAAGTTGTTTTATTTTCCACAGATGCAGTGGATGGTTACTGGAGCTGCTGGGGGCCATGGAGTAGCTGTGGAGCCTCTATGAGGAGACATCGAACTAGGAAATGCGACAACCCTGCTCCCCTCAGTGGTGGCCAACCCTGTGATGGTCCAAACAAACAGGAGGAACCGTGCCATATCTCTCTTTTTGAAAGGTGTGATTGAAAGGATTACTGTATATCTTGGTGTTTGGCAGCTTATAAAGGGTTTCCTGTACTGAGAACTCTGTTTTTGGGGTTTTATGGGGCAGACAAGAATCCTGTGACAATGACGATGACTTCACAGTGGGATGGAGGGATGAGCTGCCCCCTGGGGTGCAGGGCTGTTTGAGGCCCCAGAGACCACCCAACAGTTTCCTCAGGGTATTTTTTTTTAACTCAAGTTTTTTAAGCTTAAAGCATTGGGATTATTTAAACTTTTATGATCTAATCAAATTTTGGTTTTACTCTAACAGAAAGCTAAACAGTATTACTCCTTTGGCGAGGATGAGGAGTTCCAGTGCTTCACCGGATTTGAACTTGAGGGTTTCCAGTTCATCAACTGTCGTCCTGATGGAACCTGGAGTGAACCGACAGGGAGATGCATCAGTGAGTCTGGGAATAAAAAAGGGAAATTTAAGCAAAAATATCAGGATTGTGAAAAGGATGGTCAATTACATGTCATCAATACTTCTCTCAACCTATTTTTACATAATCTTTAAATACTTAAACACAAGTTAAACAATGCATACCCCATCAGACCACCACACCCATAGTCAATACGCATGCGCAAAATGTCAGATTTGCATATGTGTATGCTAGTCCCCTTTATCCCTTTAATTTAGCATCGTTTATCCCTTTAGTTTTGTACAAAAAACACACTTTAAGCTACCTCAACAGGCGTATATCCCTTAAGTTATGTACAAAAACAATTTAAGGTCAGATCGCCATGCGATTCAAAAAACACCAAAAAGTAAGTAATGAAATTGTTTATGGGTTTTGACTATGGGAATGCTGGTCTAACAGGGTATGCTAATACGACAGAACTCTGCATCAACAACTCATCTCGATCTCGATAGCCATCTCGATACACCTGAATCTAACAAGTTACTTTCTTCATCACTATGGTTTCTAATCTGTAGGAATGCTTTTATATTTAGCATCTAAACTGTCAAGAATGAGGGGAAGATAGAGCGGGAAATCGATATGCGGATTGGTGCGATGTCTGCTGTGAAGCGGCCCAGTACCGGTCTGTTGTGGTGAAGAGAGGCTGAGCCAAAAAGCAAAGCTCTCAATTTACTGGTTGATCTGCGTTCCTACTAGTGTTGCGCCGATGCCATTTTTTGGCCCCGATACCGATACCCGATACCTGGCTGTGCAGTATCGGCCGATACGAATACCATAATAATGTAAAATAATTGCCATCATGGCTGCTGCCTACCTTTGTGAAGCAGGAAAAAATCTAATACAAAGTGAATCCAGTAGAACGTTTTATTGCCTACCAGGAGTGGGAGACAATAGTTGAATAAACTTTTGGCTCTCAAAATGGTATCGGTGCCCTATTTGTTGGTACTCGCCGATACTGATACCACCATTTTAGGGCAGTATCGGGGCCCCGTCCGATACTGGTATCGGTATTGGTGCAACACTAGTTCCTACCCTCATTTATGGTCATGAGCTTTGGGTCATGACCAAAAGAATGAGCGGCTGAAATGACCTTTCTCCGTAGTGTGTCTGGGCTCTCCCTTAGAGATAGGGTGAGGAGCTCAAGTCATCCGTGGAGGAATCAGAGCCGCTGCTCCTCCACATCAAGAGTAGCCAGTTGAGGTGGCTTGGGCATCTGATTAGGATGCCTCCTGGACATCTCCCTGGTGAGGTGTTCCGGGCACGTCCCACCAGGAGGAGGCCCAGGGGGAGACCCAGGACACGCTGGAGGGACTATGTTTCTCGGCTGGCCTGGGACCGCCTTGGGATTCCCCTGGAGGAGCTGGCCCACGTGGCTGGGAAGAGGGACGTCTGGTTCTCCCTACTGAAGCTGCTACCCCCGCGACCCAACCCCGGATAAGCGGAAAAAGATGGATGGATGGATCTAAACTGTATAAACAGTATATTTTGAAACAAAGAAACATCTAGAAGTCCTTTGGGGTTAGAGCTTGAGATCTAGAGCTCTATTAGCTTCATTTTGTCTGCTTTTACTCTTTCAGCGTTTTCTTTTTTTTTCATTTAGCTCAAAGGTCAATTCAAGTTCTTACATGTTTACAAAGATTCTGTAAAACGTTGCAGGTTGTTCATCCATTATGAAAAGGTTGTAAAGATTGAGGCCTGGAGGTGGTGTATTTCTACCCAGGAAATTCCTAACCCCTGCCATCTTCTTACCTTCAGGGAGGCTCTGTGTTGCTCCTGAGGTCCCAGAGAACATGGAGCTGTTTCCAGCCATGGCATCGTTCAGAGTGGGCGAACGAATTGGTTTCAACTGTAAAGAGAAAGGCCTGATGCCAATGCCACGCGGCCTGTACAGGTGCAGCAGTAAAATGACCTGGGAGCCCCCACTGCCTGAAGACCTCCGCTGCACTGATGGTTGGTTAAAACAATCGATGCTCCATGCAGGCTGTCCTTTAAAACTTATTTAACGTGAAATGAAAGGATTTGTCACAGAATGAATCATGTGACCATGAGGGCAGCTTTATGGCAGTCTGAGCTATTC